CCAATACCCGTATTTATCTCAATAGATTCCTTACCTAGTTGACAGGCTTTCTACCCTGACAAGTAGATCCTATCACACAGATGTTGCGTGGGATCAAGTACAGACGATGAAAGGTGAAAATGAACATAGGTATAACTCAGTATATAATGGAAAAATGAGTTATGATTATGATAAACAGGATACAGAAACAAGGGCAGATACTGTAGCATCTGGCAAGACTCGGCCTGTAGGATTGAAGGAAGCTCTCGTAAGGACACGTCAGCAATATAAATTAGAATGGCGGGGTACTGGATGAGGAATATTTAGCTTCTGTCCGATTCTATCAAAATATAGAGAGGAAAGAATGTATTCCATCTATCTAGATCTCAAGAGGATGTTGGTTGGTTGGTTGGAAGAGGTGGTGGTCAGAGACCATGCAGGAAGAAGAGGAGATAAAGGCTCAGCTGACCCTGGCTGGAGTGAGTGTCTTAAAAGATTACAGGGTAAGGGAGCGAAGACAGAGTGGCGAGGGCACTAATTCCGACGAATCAAGAAAAAAGCGGGTCAGCACGGACATACAACAGGATGGATTTGCTCGTGGTCAGCCGCGCAATCACTAAGGTATTTTTCTCTCAGTGGGTGACTGAGGGGCGAGGTCTAGGCTTGAGCCTCCGTGTGATTGAGGAGACCGAGAGCCTTGCCTGCAGTGCGGTCAAGATGAAACCATGGAAGCTACCCAATTACAACTCTCCTCGAGATAAAAAGCAAACACGGGGATACGCAATGATTTAAAGCGTCTCGCGAATCAGGGCACCGCTAATGTACACCAAATCCCGCGTGCAGGGGTGCCTGACTTGTTGAAAGCGAACAGCGCGGCGTCGCTGTCAAATCAGTCTCTAGAGTTTGGCCCACCTCCGGAGCGAATCTGCAGCCTCGCCTGCAAAAAAGCAAGGTCTCCGGCTTTATTCGGATACACTGCAGTATTGGTGCATTAAAAAAGTTTTACACCACAAGAATTCGTGCTTAAGCTTTAGGATTCTCGTTACTATAATATCAGAGTGAACTCCCTGAACGTCCCAGTTCTTTACTCCTCAGCTCTATTATCGCGTGTAGATGCAGAATGAAATAAGCAAAGTTACCGAAAGGATGCCCCGGCGCGGTTTTAGATGTCCCAAATGATACGGGTATACATCTCCGACTCCGAGTTGTCAGAATCTTATCCGGCTCCATGTAAGGGCCAACGCGCTTAAGTTGCCAGCCGAAATGGGAAAACTAGGAATCTCACCATGAACCCGAGTTGGGGCAGCCTCAGGGTAGAAACCGGTAACCCAAGATTAGACTAGGCTAGAGGTCCAAACACAGGAATTCGGAATAAAAAACCTAATGGCAACATTTAAGTAAAATGCATTAAGTGGGCGAGCAACGAGTTAACCACCCTAGATTGCCCGAGGCCGTTCCGCAATATCGGAGCAATGCGGAGATATGGTTGCATTCCAAATAAACAATTAATATCCTGTTTAGAACCTATCCCATCTGCACCATGTTCACTTGTATTTCAGGGTAGTCTTGCAGAGCTAACAATTCTTGGCTTGTATTTTCCCCACGATATTCTCATAGCTCTATGACCTAGTTAATAGAATCTCTTTATCCTTTTCAGGAATATAGCTTCCTCCATGACTACCACGCTGGATGGGAAAGGTCCTAGATCATTCAGAAACAGCGGAATGTGGAGACGATTTATTCAGATTACTGGTATTTTCACCTGTACGGGACTGATATCGAGGCTGATATTTGGCGCCCACTGGGATGTATTCTCCTCCGTGTCGCTTAGGCTGAGGATCCTTCATGAAGTCTTTTAGATAGAAAATTATGTGAAATTAGGCGGAAGATGAGCTTACCTGGTATGGAGCCATTATATTTAACCAGATAGGTTGTTGTGGAGATCAGTGGTAATAATCCACGAACTGAGAGAGGAGGACGTAACTTGGAATAGACAGCGAAAGAAAAGGAGCAGGAGAGAACCTAAGACATCAGGAGGTAGAGGATGGCGGCTGCCTTGTTGAAAGTCGCAACCTTGGTCAGATCAGCGTCACGCTAACGCCGGGCCGGTTATTTATGATGCAGCAAGGCCAGCCTTGTGTTTTTCTTCCCCGAGATAAGGGAATGGAATATATCTAGTCGAATTTTCCCCTTCTAAATTGTTTTAATAGAGACCTTAAACGGTTTGCTTCTTTATAAAGTTTTATAAAACAGCGTGTACTTCTTTGTCTTCTCAGCCTTCCACACAGTATGCTCGCTCGAAGCTATGAAAGGTGAAATATTATTTCTTTGGTTTTTCCTATAATAGCTGGAATTGTTTCTCTGGGATCTGTTTTTCGTTTATGTCTGATGAGACAGCCGAGGCATAATCCAAAAGTAATACTGTTTAAATCACTCTTCATTATTCTTCTAAGTTAATCAATGTATCGGCCTACGTGGTGGATTTTGTATACCGGTCAGGAATGTCCTTGGCTGATAATCTATTCTAGAGATATAGCATTTACTGTTTATTGGTAATTCAGTAATTTAGGACACGTACCACCAGCAAATAATGACGCCATGGTAATCGTTGCTCAGATCTGCAAATATCTGCAGAATATCCTTATTCTGAATATATTATACCGGCTTATACATACCTATAAGTCGCAGAATCGTAACGAGGCTATAAATACAATACTTCTGTCAAAAGTGCATGGCAGTACTTTAGTAAGCCTCATCATTATTTCTATCACGCATTTTATTACCTGGGCAATATCAGAATTTGGATACAGCGGAGATTATTGGTATTCGACTTACGGGCTTTAACTGGCGTGCAACGGTCTCGTTATGATCGCTTCCCTAGATATTATGTTCAAGATATTGATAATTATCTGGAAATTAAATAATGTCAAATATTCTTCTATGGTGCGCCGCTCCCCATGGCTTGCTAGTTGCACTGTTGAGGTGCTGACGGATAAATAGAATGGAGCTTGCTTTCTTGTTGTTGGGGGGTTCTTTTTTTTTACCTAGAGTCTATCTCTTCTTGTTAGTGATAGCATGAGCCAGAGAACAAGCATGCAGGACAAAATCGTATTATATTAAGAAATAATGTTGCTTATCTGCATAACGGGGCAATGCATAGGCATTGTCCATTATTGCATGCAGGTGCATAAATTAGATAGAAATTAGATAGAAATTTATTATTAGTTTTTACTGTCTTTTTAAATAGGAAAAGATTGGTAAACCAGGTTAACCGCGGTTAATCTAGTTTAGGTATATATATATTTTATACCTAACCGTTAACCTGACGGAAGGTATAGATTTTCCTATTAACCTACCCTACCCTGGCCGTTAACCACTCTACAAGGAAGTGATCTTAGGGTTTGACACTTATATTAAATAGAGCAGACTATATATAATATCCTGCTGGAAATTTTAAGAAATACTTCTTTCTAATTATGAAATTATTATATAAAGAATTCTATCTATTCTGGTTCTTTTAAATAAATGCCGCAGTAGCTTACCGCGGCCGATGCTGATAACTTTATATTAGATCATAAGAATAATAATATCTCGCTGGCTGAGAGCAGCTAATCTCAGTAAATGAAATTATATAATAATAAGCAGTATTTAGAGGCACGTAACTAGATTATATAATATGATTCTGTTTATTTTATTTATTTTGTTTAATTTACTTATCTTTATTATTTATATGTATTCTCTTATACTTCCTTCTTTCCCTTCTCATGTTTAATATTCTAGTCTAGGTGCACTAAATAAGATATATTTAATCAGCTCCCACATTATGGAGGAGATGTGATCTCCGGCCGGCACTATAATGAATGTCCGAAGTTTATGGAACATGGGCTTTGGCTCCTTTTCTTCGAACTTCTCTCCTAATCTTACATACATTAAACCCAGTAATACTGGTACTGGTACCGTCATAGTCCATGCAGCTTCTGGCTCTTAACACTATAAAACCCAGATTCAAGAGACTGGAACGACCTTTTTTGAAGAAGAAAATGGTAACTGGCAACTCGCCAACTTTGACGGTGGTGGGAAACTTGATTTGATCTACATCAAGACATCGAACACCGGCACAGGCTCCGTCGAGGTCCATGTTGCCTCAGGACCCTCTACATATCAGACGCGAATCCTAGAGACGGCCACCTTCTTGTGGAAGAAAACAACGGACAGCGGCAGCTGATTGATTTCAATGGCGACGGTAAACTGCATCTTGTTTATATCAAGAACCAGAATACTGGTAAGGGATATGTTGAGGTGCATTTCGTGTCGGGAGCATCCAACTTTCAGAGACCTATCCAGGAGGTCGCTACTACCTTCACAGAAGAACAAAAACGGAGTATGGCGGCTTGTGAAATATCAACATAGTGGACATTCAGACTTTGCTTATATCAAAGACCAAAACGCCGGAACTAACAAGGTGGAAGTCCATATTGCATCTGGTGCCTCTACCTCCCAGAATCGGGTGCAGGAGGTAGCAACGATGTTCGGAGGAGAGACGGATGGAGCCTTGCAGCTTTTCGACTGGAATGAAGACGGTATTCTGGATCTTGTTTTTATCAAAACTTGTAACACAGGCACAGGGGATGTCGAGGTCCATGTGGCATCTGGTGCCTCCCAGACATTCGCCGCCGACAGTATAACACGGAGAAGGACAGTTTCGTCGTGGGTCAAATAGCAGATATATTATGAGCTTCAGATTTATCAACTTGCACCAATAAAAATGTCGGGGAGCGAGTGAAATACGAAGTAGCCAATCGGCATTCACTTCAGGCTTCGCGAGCTAGCGTCAGCTCGCGCCTCACCAGTTACTGGTAGATTTTATTGTGGCGTATACAAGCCTGCTGTTGGCTTAACCCGATTAGTTAATTCGAAGCGAGCAGCAGATAAGCACTCAGCCACGTCCACAACGACAATTAAATAGGAACGCGGAAAGACCGAAAAGCCCAGTTCTTTTGTCTCGAGATATATCTGTCAACATGTCCATTCAAACAAACGCAGCAGGCAACGGCGCCCGCGGGGCTGAAGACGAGATTCCAGTACGCCCATGCCACGCACAGAGCCTGGAGAGATGCTAATGCAGTAGCAACAGGTCCTTTCCCGCTGCGTCAATCCGGAAGGAATCTCGTGGACAGCCATCTGGTATTCCCCCACCAATGCCCCCTCATTCCTGGTATGTTCTTATTGCTATGACCAACACATCCAACCCACTCGTCACGCAGGCCTTTTCGAGGCTCTCTGGGTAAGCGGGAATCGTGACCTTAAATGTCAATGGAATACTCCGCGGGTGATGTCGCATCTGGCCGCAGATGACTGGGATGCGATCAACGCCTTCATGGTCGAGCGGATCAAAATTCCAGCCTGCAAAGGCCCGGCAGGTCACACCGGGCTTGATGGCTCCCGGTGGTACGGGATGATCGGCGCATGGGACATTCAGGGCTTCGTGATATGCGAAGCGTGCTATCTCGACCTGGTGACGTGGAATCAGCTCAGGACGTACTTCACCGCGACGCCGACAATCAAGTCGGAAGAGAGAATATGGACATGTGATGCGGCGGTGCCGCTGATAAAGGAGGGACTCCTTCGGGCGATCACGTCACGCAACCGCTGGGATGACCTGCACCCCATTTTCAGAAGACGGATGCAGTATCCCTCTTGTGTAGAGATGACAAAACTCCAAGCCAGCTCGACACATTGGTACGCTTCAAAGGCGGTCCCCGACCTGGTTGTCTGCACGGCATGCTACCTGGACCACTTCTTTTTGGACCACGCCAGCTCATGGGAGCTCCTCGACCTTACGGCAGAGCAGCAACAGCAGCAACTCGTCTGTGCGATGCAGACAGTTCCAATATATGCCGCCTGGGCTGGCTGCAAACGAGTCAGTATGACTGAAAACACCGACGAGTACGACGGCTTCGAGCACCTAGCCAGGTTGATCCTCGAGTCGCATCCCTGCAGTACAGATGACATGCGCAACGCGACCTGGTATGCCCCAGAGGATTGCACCTTCGATGCATTCGCCATCTGCAGACGGTGCTTCCTAGCCTTCATGGTCATTCCTGATTTCGCTAAGGGGTTCAAAGAATTCAACTTCCGGCGTGATGGCAAATGGCTCTGCGACTTTAACCCTGCATCGCCACGGTTTTCCAAGTATCTCCCGAAATATGAGGACGCAGTGAACCAAGGAAACTTCTCCATCTTCTTCAAATATGTGTCGGAGCATGGGCCATTGCCCGATTGTCCCCGGGACCAAGCCTACAAGAATCGCAAATGGTTTGGAAAAGGCCTCTTTACCGCATGCGAACTCTGCTACAAGGATGTCATCCATGGGACGAGCCTAGCCAGTTATCTCGACTGTGCCGTCGTCCCAAACGAAGCCAGATGCCAGATGTACTCCCGCCGAATGCGGACTCTCTGGCAGCAAGCTTGCGAGAACAACGACCTAGACCCCTTCCTGGTGCTTGCAAAGGAGCGCATGGATGCGTTTCTGTTGATGGAGCTAGAGAAGCAGCGCCAGCTGGCTGAGATGATGATGCGCTCGCAGCGGAGGAACAACTTGTTACTGGTGTCTGGAATGAATTCGGGAACGGACGGAATTATTTCGGCGATGGGGGTTGATAACGGTACGAGGTATGGGAATGCGGACATTGGGTTCAACTGGCATACCTCCCTGGGGGCTGAGGGTCATCAGCAGTTTAATCAAGCAATGGGGATGGATGTGGTGCAGGCCTCTGCGGACTTTGCGCGGTTGTCGCCTTTAATACAGAGGTGGGCGACTTTGCAGTAGTCAATCTTTCAGATTACATTTTATGGTGAGAAACAATGTAGGAAACTTATACTTGGTCACGTTCCCGGTAGTTACCGGTAACAGATGGAAAGTTATAGGAAACCAGGACAAACACTGCAAAGGCTAGAGTAATCAGCTTGGCAATCCAGCCAAGCTTATCCAGCTTAAATTACCGGGAAGAGGGAAGGAATTTCTGGCTCCTCTTGCGGTATAATAACAAGGCTGGCGGGAACACAAATGTCAGCTGTTGTAGAAGTAGTCCTACTATGTATATAGGAATGAGTTCGTCAAGGGGGCCAATTATTTAATTAGCTCAGTGAGCGGAAACTTGAGCAGCTTGATTCACTCACTAAGCATGTTTCTCAGTATGTGAAGGTCACTGATCTGGTCAGCGCAGTTACGGCGTGCTTAGTTTTACTTGGTGAGTAAAAACGGCGAGGAAGTGAGCACTAAAGCAGAAGGTGAAAGTTAAAAAGTGTCAAAGGAAATCCGGTAGCTAGGGCTTATAAGGATTCTAAAGAAATAAATAACAACCAGATTAATTATATTGGAGGCGCTTGATTTACAGAATATATAGTTTCTGGATTCTCAGAGACTAATTAAAGCTATGGACAAGGCCAAATGTTTCATGCTATATTGAATTACCGAGTGTCCTTCCATCAGAGAGAGAATTTACCCAAAACTTTCTTTATATATGAGTAGTATTCCCTATTCGGAGAAGTTGCTCCGTGAAAGCTTCATACAGTATACTAAAGTCCGTCTCAGGATGCTTGTACCGTATCAAAGAACCTGTCATCATTCATAGTACTGAGTGAATTAGTTTGTTATGGTCATGAGACTGAAGTTGAGCTGACTGATATTCTTGTATCCTGGGATATTCCGGGGACCGGCCCTGAGTATATACGACGGTGTCCACCCCTGGCAGAGATCATCTTTATCGGAGCACTTCATCTCTAATCTTGCAGTATCAAGAGCCTGTCGCTAGGATAAAGTATGGCGGCATTTCGCCTTCGGACTTTCTGCAGCAATTATTTTCATTCTATCCAGTGGGCCCTAAAGCCTCCTCTATTGACCAAGTCCGTATGCCGCGGGACACTAAAAAAAGATATCAACGGGCTCGGCGGCTCCCAGTGAGGTGGATGCTGATGGGCGCTCAGTGCTGCGCGCGCGAAATTCGGTGGGTATGTATATCGTCCGACTAGAAGAACACTGACAGGCACACCAAGCGATGTTCTGCATCTCGTGGGCGTCATGGGTAAGGTTCCATAGGGCTTGGCCGTCGAGGCAAACAGCATTCTCTCAAAGATATTGCTTCCTGCTGGGGCAAGGCTGGATGTTGTAGGCAATAAATGCACGCCGCTACGTGCGGCTATTGAATATGACTCCGAGGAAGTGGTAGTGGTACTATTATAACGGACCGTGATCCCGCGCGAGAGATAATGGTAGACCTCGATGTATAGGATGGTAAATTATATCGGCGCAGTACAGCTACTCGAAGCAGGGTCAGTAGGTGGATATATCTTTAATCTTACAGGAGCACCAATAGCCTGGCAAGCCAAATGCTAAACATGTGTAGCAAAGAGCTCTAATAAAGCTGAGTGCATTGCTGCATCAGAAACTTTATACCAAGCATACTGGATTCACGAAACTATAAAAGATCTTTGATTATGTAATAAAGCTGCACCTAGTATCTTGATGTACATTGATAACAAAGGCGCTATCGACCTTAAGATATCCGATATGCAGACCAAGCGATTGAAGTACATTGATATTCGATATTACTATACATATGATATGATTAATCAAGGTATCATCCAGATTAAGCAGATCCCTACAGCTGATATGGTTGCAGATAGCTGTACAAAGCCACTAGGATTAAAAGCTCACTTTTATTTTATTTAACTACTTGGTCTTTCTCACAGAGACAAGTGATTGTATTTATATTCATTTTGGTGATAACTCGCTCGCTTGAGGGGGGGTGTCGGAGCATACGGATGTCCCGGGTGGAAATGCAGCCGTAATCAGCTGTAGGAGTGGTTATTTTCGGTGTTGATTCGGCAGGTCCCCATATCCTAATTAAGACATGTTGGTCTGAAAATACAGGATAATCACGTTCTATCTGTGAGAGCCGATCAAATATGTCTTATTTGGTGCATCTAGACTAGAATATCAAACATGAGGAGGGAAAGAAGGAAGTATAGAGAAGTATATATAAATAATAAAAATAAGTAAATAAAATAAAATAAATAAAATAAACAGAATTATATTATATAATCTAGTCACATGTCTCTGAATACTGCTTACTATTATATTATTTCTCTTACTAAGACTGACTGTTCTCAGCCAGCGGGATATCATCATCTTTATAATCTAATATAAATTTATCAGCCTCGGCCGCGGCGAGCCACTGCAGCAGTCGTTTAAAAGAACTAGAGCAGGTAGAATTCTTTATATAATAATTCTATAGCCGGAAAGAAGTATTCTTGAAGTTTCCAGCAGGATATTATATATAATCTGTATTATTTAATATAAATTATTTAACTTTGTATTACAGATAATTATAATATAAGTAACTGGTCAGAATCTTTTTAATTTTCTATTCTATCTAGTTATTAATTTTAATAGGAATGGCGGTGTCCTGGATCTGACTAGGTAGAATTTTTAATAAGTTCTATAAATATAATTTCTCAGAATAAAAAACTAGATACATGTGTATATTTTTTAAGAAATAAATTTTATATACATTTCTAATCTTATTAATAATTAAAACAGGTCTATACTAATTTTTTAAAAACTTCTACGAGGGTTGGTTCCAGTGCTAATTTCTTATATTAATAAAAATCTTATTACTGATATTAAAATTATCTGGATATTAATAATAATTTATTTATTAAATTTATTAATCTTAAGCTTTTTATATATTATTTTATATAAACTGCTATATCTATTCTATTCAGCGGGCGAACTTCTATGCCTGATTCTGAGTAACTATATATAGCGGAAATTCTATAAAAGATATCCAGTTAAATAATATTCTCAGTTATATTTTTTTTATTATAAATAGCGACAGCCCTGTTGATTTATATAGTAAAGTCACAGTTACAAAGTTAATCAGAAGTAGTAATTTTAATTAATTATTTTAAAAGTAATTAATAAATAAAATAAATTATTAAATAGTATATTAATTAATAATCTCTATCTGTTTATCAGTTTAGAAATAGTACGCAGTAGAGAATTTTAGCTTAATCTATAAAATTTTATAAAATTTATTTTAGAAATCAGCTGTGAACTGCCCCCCGCAGTCAGATATAATTATATCAGATAATCCAGTCTAGATATATACTCAGTTTATAAATAAGCAGACTATATTCTGAGTAGATATCTATTTAATATATAGAATAAAAATTATATACTTACTGAATTAGTCTACTATTATAAAAACAGTGTCGAAGCCATGGCAGTCTTTTAGAAAAAAACAGAAATTTATTAAGATATATTACTGAATAACTAGCCGCGTGCGGTATTAATTAAAAAAAAGAAGAAGTAACTATAATATTTAATATTATATAAGAGCTAATCAAATATATTTTAATTAGCATAAAAAGACTAGAATGTTAAATATGAGAAGGGAAAGAAGAAAGTATAAGAAAGTATATATAAATAATAAAAATAAATAAATAGAATAAAATAAATAAAGTAAATAAAACTATATTATATGATCTAGTCATGTACCTGTGAATACCGCTCGCCATCACAAATTTAAGAATACTAGAAGCTGTTGGTAATCTTTATTAATGAAAAGCTGCTATAATTAGACTTTTAATATTAAGTTATTCCAGAATACTTTAATATGAAATAAGACTCTGAATAGTAATATATAAAGATATATTACTAAAAATAGTTTATAGACTACTTCAGAGAGTATAAATATAATTCTATTATTAGTTAATCTATATTATCTGGTCCAGATATATCTTGAAAAAATAATAATTTCTAAAATAGATTTATATTAACAGATCCAACAGGACTTAGAAATTATAAAATAAAAAAAAGTAGTATTTTTATAATTTAATCAGTCTAAAAAACTTTTTATATTTATTCGATATTAATTTAATTAAAAAGATAGAAGATCCGCCGTAAGGATTCTTCTGTAATAAGATTTATAAACTCTTAAACTAAAGATTTAATAAAATATTTTTATAATATATAATAAACAGAGCCAGTAAATTAAACAGATATATTTAGATATACTAGAATCTAAAATAGAACTTCTCTAGCTGAATTAAGAGAATTATTTTATTTAACAGACTGATATCTTTAATATAAACTAATATTTTTTTACTTATATATCTAGTTTATACTCTATTATTAAGTACTTGATATCCTATAAATTAGACAGTTAAATAAGATAATTATATAAATTTAAAAAAATAATAATTTATACTACTGATCCTCTGTACTTCTGATCTACTTAAATTAGTAATTTTATTTTTAATCTACAAAGATTCTTTCAGTTAGTATTTAATAAGTTAAACCTTTTTATTATATTAATTATTTTTTTCTTACTTAAGTTTAAGAGACCAGTCTAAGAACTGATATAAATTATTATTTAATATCTGATATAGAGTCTCTTCAGAATTCTATTATTTTTGTATATTAGATTGTAATCTTATTTTACTCTTATAATATCTATATCTGTATTAGCAGAGAATAGTAAAGATAGTATTTAATTAATATTATTGACTATTTTTATTAAGTTTTACTCTGTTTTTATTATTTAATGGTATCCTCTACTTTATTAAAATTATTATTAATTTTATAAAAATTGATTTTGGTATTATTAAAGAAGTTATTATAAAATTTATTTATTTTATTAAATAGACTTAGTTTTAAAGTAGGATTTTCTTTATCTAATTAAAGATATTTTTATATCCTCAGGCTATTATTCTGCTTGGTAATATCTGGCTTAGTTATATTTATTTTATAAATAGTATTCTACT